GGGGCGGCGCGGGGCGGCGCGGGGCGGCGCGGGGCGGCGGTCGCGTGGCGCGAGGGTCTGCGCGTGTCTGTGCGTGGCGCTGTGACAAAGTAGGGGCGGTGGCACGCCGGGGCCCTGCCACCTGCGTGCGAGGGCAGCGCGACCTGTCGCGTGGGCGGGAGCAGGTGCTTAGGCGGAGGCCAGGCCGAAGGAGAGGCGGAGATCTGAGGACGACGCGAAGGCGGCAGCGCCAACAACAAATTTGAAGCATACAGATGCATGGATTCGGCACCCCATCTGGAAGAAAAATCAAATGTCATACACCATAGTTTTGCCCAAACTATAGAAAGTTTTGCCCTACTCGCACAACGCCGCAAATCGCAAATCAAAATTTTCGACTTCAATACACATTAGCCCTCCCACATAGAAATTTCGAAACATCAGATACGCCATTGTTTTCCCAGCCTCTAAAAAATGTTGCCTTAGTCAGACCGCTGTAAATCACAAATCATCAGGTGGGCTTAAAACTACTTGCACCGGCGCATGCGAAATTTCTACAAGGGATGCTAACTTCACACACCTGAAGAATATGCTAGATTTCAATCAGTATATGAGTTAAAATGTATTAGTTGGGACATTGTATCGTCTCTTAGAGTAGATATATTGTTACCTCTCTTTGGGAATCCACATCATCATTTCTGTGCCGTTCTCAATTGCTACGTACGTTGCGGGAATCGGTTGCACGAGTCAATTTTGAAAACGTAGGATTAGAGTTGGTTGTTTAAAATTTATTCTACAAAGTGATGTTTTTAAAGTAGAGGCGTGAGGGTATACTTGCTATTATTACATCAGCGATGAAGCATATTGCATCGTGCGAGTTTTCGCGTTCTTATTGTAACACTCACCCTCGTACTTCCATATTTGCATTTCAATCGATGTACAATATCTGTATGAAATTTGTTCATTAGTTATATCCTCTACGAAGGCACTACTTGGTGTTCTGAATCAGTTAAATTGCTAAAATGTTAGATTCGTCGATGCCAAATTCCTTAGAACATTTTATATATACTATAGTAACAATATCACGAATTATGATTGTATTTAGAGTTACGTTTATTATTTTATATTCCGTGGAGACAATGAGCTGATGGGCTGAGCCAGCCAGGGCAAGCATTCGCGGCACGAAGGCGGGCCACAGGCAGCATTCAGAGAACGATGCTATCGAGTGCCAGTATCCAGCTCACGCGCCGCTGCTTAGCATCCAACGCCGGTGCCCCGTGTAAGCATTTTGTGAACCGAATCCGCATAGTTGCGCCCGGTGCTCGGGCTGAAAGGAACATAGTAGCGATTCCGTAAGAGGAACGGGTCCGCGCTCGTGGGCCGTGGCTCGTGCTG